CTATGTTTCAAGTGGCACATACATACATCTGTAAATATGTACGTACGTATATGTAAGTATTTTTGTTTACTGGCCACGTCATCCCGAGTGGCTCGCAACCCAATTTGAAACTTTCGAGCGGTTGTGTTTAACTTTTATTGAATGCCCACAAGCATAGAGGTGTGTGCGCCACAAAATTTACGGAAGTCGAAATAAAGTTATAGCCTACAGCTACTGCTACATACTTATAAATTAACTAAGCTTTAAATTAATGCCATAAGAGAAGGGCCCACATAAATATGCAAGCAGAGCGCCAGAGAAAAAAAAAACTCCAAAATACGCGGACAACATAAATATGCACTTTTCTACAAACACACACACACACACACACACAAATAAAATAAATAAATAATCATGTCAGCTAGAAGGCATTTTTTCGCTACAGAGTACATAATATATGTATGTATGTATACTATGTAAATGTGTATGTGTGTATGTGCCTACCTAGTCATGGGGTACTAAATGGCAGGCGGTGCTACGATGGCTCCATCACTGCCGAAAAATGTTTGCTATAAATGCGCCGTCTCATTTTTCCTGCTGTAAGGATGTACCTTGGCCTGCATGCCCTTTTGCCTTCCTGTCATCCCGCCTTCCTGCAAACTTCAAATGTTATTTAGACAAGATGAAGCACTTAAGAGTGGCGAATGGGGATGGGGATGGGGATGTTTCCCCATCATCTGTTGGCTGTTGGTGGTTTGGTTGGGTACTTTGGCCAGACGACAGGTGATAATGAGCTCGCTTATTGCGCCTCCAACTTCACACATACACATACACATACTACTTATACATACATACATATATTATATATGTAGGTATACACTCACAAAAGCAGAGTCTCATATTGCTATTTAAGCAGTTAATGGCGTGTGTTTAAAGGTAAATGCCATTGCCTACATTTCGGCGCGCGAGCTAATGTGGCGGCTGGTCCATAAATGTGCTGCAGTCGTTCTCATACTCCTCGTAGTGTGCTAATGAGGTGGGCTATGGAGACCCGCAACACAACCGAAACCTTCTTGTTTATTAACTTGGCAATTTATTTTATGTGCTTTTTTGCATTTCTCCTTTCATGCAGGTACTAAGTAAACGGGGATGCCCCAACAGCTAAGCCAACTGCCAGCCACAGCAGCAGGAGCAGGCACCACAACCACATATGGAGAGACAAAAGGTTAATTATGTATTACATTGTGTGTGTGTGTGTTTGTTTGTTTGTTTGTTTTTTATGTAGCCACAGGGAATTACTCGTTAACGAAAACATTTATTGTGCTATGCCACGATTGCTGAGTGAAACAAACTATCGTATAGGTTGCTGTAGCAACTGTCAATATTTGTGTTGACATCAAATGAGCCTCGAAGCGTCAGCCACAAACCGAAACTCCCATCTTGGTGCCAAAATGCCCGACCCTGTGTTGCGTTGCGCCCTTGGCCATCTGTCATGGTCACTACGGTTATCATTTCATTTGGAGCTGCTTACCTGACAGTAAGACTCCAAAGCAGCTCCCAGCACCTCCTGCCGCCCCCCAGAGATCATCAAAAATGTGTAATATTTGCTTTCCGACTGCCGAATGTCTATCCGGCTGCGTGCCACAAAAAAAACCGACACACACTCAGACACTAAAAAATTAGTTTTCTCCTATTGACTACCAGACATACGTACATACTATATGGTATATTGGGGGTTGGGGTGTTCCACAGACACACACACTCACACGCACATTGCGCGTTTCCATTTCCCATTTCAATTGAATGTCAGAAAAACACGCACATCCATGTACATTCAGGGGCGTTGAATTGAAGCAATGGGTCAGGTTCACGTATCTAACAATGTTTGAATACAAATTGCCAAAACTTTGATACAACAAAAATGAACAAAGAGAAAAAAGTATACATCAAAACAACAGGAAAGCCCGCCGTTTTCAAGGCGTCGAACATTTCACATGCTTGCAAACTTTTCCGGCGTGATTTATCATACTAGTACTCGTATGTGAGTTATATGTACCTATGCGTGTATTCATCAAAAATAGTCAAACGAATTTTAGCTGCGTTCCCATTTTCGGAGTCATACGTTTATTATTCAAATCAGAAATGTTTGGGGACGGTTTTACTTTTTGTGAACAGGTTGTAGCTATCTATTTCGAGAAACAACAATCAATATACTCTACATAGTATGTTAGATTTGTAATCGTGTGTTTGCATAACAATCGAATCTGCGATAAGCAATGCGGAGTTAACAATTCTGTTATTCTTGTTGTTTTAGTTATTGAACAAATATGAAAATAAATTTAAACAACGCCACTAAAATTTTATCAAAATCAAAATACAAACAATTTGTAATTGTAATATAAATGAAAAAACTCTGTCGTGCAGGTATACAACTTTATAAGGTGAATGTTTTTCAGAAACGGCAACCGACAGCATTTTTGAGTTCAACTAATTGGATTCAAGTAGAAGCCGCGAATTGGGGGATACTTGGGAAAAGTACACTAAAGTATGCAGGTAAAATATAAACCTTGAAGTCATATGATTTGTTTGGCCTAACAAATCCATAATAATAAACATCATCCGAAAGTATTCTATTAAATAAACCCTTTACCCTTTAAAGGAGATGGGTTTGCATTGCATTTCAGCTTGATAATGAAGTATAAATGTTTATTTGGCTGCACCAGAAAACAAAATCAATATCGATATAAAAAGTGAACTTATTTAAAGTTTTGTTTTCTGTTGTTCTTTATTATTTAAAAATAGTATAGTTTTCGTCCAATTTATATTTTCTATACTCGTATTCAATACAAATCAAACTTGAATATTTTTTAAGTTAAAAAAACGGAAATGGTTCAATAGTTGTAATGCCATTAGTTATTTTTAAATAGCATATATATAAAAGCATAAAGGCAAGCATATTTTTTGATGAAAAAGAATTAAAGGTAAGCTATTACAGCATTTGAACCCAAATGAGCTTTTCCCATTTTTTCATTATTTAATCTGTATTAAAGGGCATTCATTAATTTAGTCATATTTTTTACGGGAAGAGAAAAGAGGTTTCTTCCTTGAGAGCCTTTAAACTGAGAACCTTAAGTCTTCCTTTGTGTGTTTTTTCCCAATAACATATTTATGTTGCTACTCACAGCCTGAGGTTTGTAGCGCATGTCAAACAGCACACATCAACCCATAATTCCCGGAGCGAGTGTATCAAAACAACACAGCAAAAACAATTTTACTTTTAAGGAAAAAGGAAAAATAACAAAATCTTTAAGCCGTAAACGCTCGACCTTTTTCCGCCTCAGTTTGAAGGGAAGCTACAGGTAGCATTTTTCGCATATGTTCTTATACAAATTGCTAAGACAACGGGATTAAGCATACGCAGTGTTGACAGCTGCGAAGGAAAACAAAACTGTCATCGACCTGCTAGGCAAATGTAATTAAATTTTGCTCAACGTACACGCACACACAGTCATAGATTGTTGCCCAGGGTGGAGTGAGTAATCATTTGAGATTAGATGGCAATTGTGGGCTAGTACAAGTAAGAAGTTAGGCGGAAGAACTACATACGATACGAACGAACAGCTCGCACTAGCAAAAGTCTTTGGCCCTGGCAAAACTTCGATTTGTGGACAAGGATATTAAGGTTGGCCTTGTCTGGCAGTGACATCGATAGCCATCGAGATGATGTTGATGTCAGACAGGCAACATCATTGTTGTCAGGAGGAGTGGAGAAAGCGGCAAAGGGCAGCTGCGCTTAAATGCTTAACAACAGCATTTTTTGAGCCCGTGTTGTTCTTGACATCTTTCTTCTGAATATCCATGCCATTATTATTTTTGTTTTGTATTTTTATTATTTCACTTTCTCACTATGCTTGGCCGTTGGCAGCAAGCGAAGGTGCGCCGCTCCATATTGTTATTATCAACGGGCCCCTAATGGACGTCGCACCCAGCTAAAAAAAAGTAAAAAATAATAATGGAAAAAATAAGACCCAGCAATTCATGTAAAACGTGCTTAAGTGCACACAGTCGACCCAACTCATTATCACCTCAGCGACCTGTGCAAGGGAGGGTATGTGAGTGTGAGTGTGAATGTGAATGTACATGAATGAGGAAATGCATTTTTTAAAGTTGCCAGTTGCTGGTTTTTGACATTTGTGGGACAATGGCCGAAAAGAGCGAGCCATGACCGAGTCAGTAAAGTGGGCCAAATCCATGAACGACACTGCATAAATAACAAGCTGCAATAAATGCAAAGGTCAACAGGACCAACAACGAGTATTCCTAAAAAATGCACTTTGTAATTGGATGCGGCCGCCTGCCATCCGCTCGATCCACAAAACGCTTCGGACTACACCTTACATATTGTGGATTGAAGCAGAAATCAACCCGCCAGCCCACCCAAAAAGAAAAAGAAGGAAAATACCGTAAAAAAGTGAGCTGAAATAAATGCGTTGCTCGTGTTTCAGAGTGTGTGTCATGTTTGTCTGTGTTTGTATTTTATGTTGCTCTGTTGCCATACAAAATGTCTGTCGCCAGATGCCTTTGCCCTTCTCTCAAAAACAAGGGTGCTTCACACACACACGCACATAGCCAAGCACACGTACACGTACACGTACCCGTTCACAATTCAAGCGCATTGTTGTATTTGTTTTATAGTTATTGCCATTGTTGTCGCTACACTCCTTCGCCACACTCCTTTGATGGCTCACCTCACTGCCTCGCCTTGCCTTGCATTTTACGCACATTTAATCTTATGACAGCAAAAATGTTGTAAAATTGTTTATAGCACTTCGCGACATGGTCAGTTTTGTGTTTTCATTGAACATTAAATTGGACAAGACATACTATATGCACAATAAAATGTTTGGTGAATACACGTACTCGCATGTGTCGCTCTTATTTGGTCACGTGCAACACCAATATGTTTGCTCATTTATGTGAAAACTGTTTTTATAGTGGTTCAATTGATTTGCAATGCTTACCCGCAGCTGGGCCAGTGCTCTATCCTGAGCACTTTCTTTATTTGCCACACACTGATGCAACCTGTTGGCCGTTGTCCTTTGTCTTTGCCGTTGCCTTTGCCTTTGCCTTTGCCCTTGCCTTTGGCTTTGTTCTTTTTTTCCGTTTGTCTAACTCATTAATCGCTCTCACTTGTCGCACTTGTCGATAGTTTGTATGTCCGCCCTCTTTTAGCATACAGTAGATACAACTATTTGCTATTCGTGTCAAAGTGCTGTTCGGTTCGGTTCAATTTAATTTATTTAAGCAGCGAATTTTATTTTTTGTTGAGAGCCGAGAAATTAGTGTGCCGCACATACACCCGTTTGTACATATATATACAAATTTAAAATTGGCATAGCAGCTGTATATTGTTGTCATATAAATTTGGAAATTATTATTAGTTATTTGTTGCTGCTTTTCGGTCGCCTCCACTGTCTCTTAGGCGTAAATTGAAATTAGCTTTCAGCGAGAGTCGAACGTGGATCGTTGAGCATCGCACTTTTTATTACGATAATTTACGATTCAAATTTGCTGATGATTTTCAGCCAGTTATCATTAGATTTATGTACACGTATATGCATCTATAGCTATAGTAATATGTATTGTTATGTGATGTATACGTTGTTGCTTTATAGTTACATATTACATATTTAAATGATCCAAAAATAAAGTTTGTTGCTTTTTCTTTCTTGGTCTGCGCTTGAGTAGCTGAGCTGAGTTAAGTATAGTTTCGTTTCGTTTAGTTTAGTTTAGTTTCGTTTAGTTTAGTTTAGTTTAAGAAGGTCGTGGTTACATTACAATTCGTTGCCTTGGTCCTTCTCATTGCCTCAATAAAGTTCAGAATCGTCGTATAATGAAAGGTATCTGGACAAACATACTATAAGAGTATAGTACATGCAGTTGATGTAGGAAAAGGTTATTATTGCCGCTTTGAAACCGACACAGACACACACGCACATCAAGTCAAACGGGTTACAACTGCTTAATTACATTAATTATTCAGCAAAATTTTCGTGCGCGACACCAACACAAAACACACACACACACACACACACACAATGTTGTGTATATGCAAATGTTACACTGCACGACAACTTAGGAGGACTTCAGACTTCAAGACTTCGCCTCCGTCAAGGAGCACGAACGGAACGTAAAGTCAGGCGAGCGCGCGCGTTATAAAAATCTAAAGCATGCTTTTAGGTGCTGCGTTTTAGATTACACTTACATACACATAGCATATACATATATGCGTTGCACTAAAACCGACCCGCGCACACTCACACACACACACACACACACACAGACTCACAGACGCACACTGTCAGAAACACTCGTTTTGGGTAGGTATGGAAGTTTGTAGGTACTTGTTGTTGATTCAGTGGCAAGATGCGTTGCTCCTTCGGTTTCTTGTTCTGTTTCTTCACTGGTTGTCTGCTTTTTTCCGAGGCGACCTTGCGGCCAACACCACGTCCAACTTGCGACTGAACGCAACGTTGCGTATACGCGCTGTTGTCGCTCGTCGTCTGGCTGCTTGGTCGCTATTTTCGGAGTAAAGTTTCTGCAGCTGCGCAGACCACAAATTACACTGCCTGTTAAAGAGCGCGCGCTCTTTCCCGTGCTCTGAGTAAGCCAAAAAGCACGGAAGCAAAATAGAATCAAGCAAGTGGTTTGTGTTGCTTCAACTAAACCAAAAACATGGAGTGCTAGATAACCAAATCATGGGTAATTGTTAGCCCAGAAACACATGCACAATTAACGCACAGCCGTCCAAACTAATTCCATTGTAGATATATACTATATACAGTATGTAGTAGTATGTTGTGCACCGCAGGTTTGAGGACAACCACTCAAATTGCACATACTAATAGTTAATTAAAGCCAACTATCAGCTGCCATCAATTGGTTTACAAACATTACTACACAGAATAACGCTGTATTGTTATTCTGTCTATCACATAATTTGTGTAATCAACTACTTGACTAAATAATTTGTATACTCGTATTTGAGTAATCTGACATACATTATACCCTGTACCTAAGGGTAAAGGTTTATACTACTAACATGCGAATGTTTGTAACATATTCTTGATCAGTATGATGAGCCAAGACAATATAGCCTCGTCCATCTACCCGACCGTCTCTATGAATAAGTATAAGGACTAGAATAACTTAACTTGCCATTTTCCCAACTCCGAGAAGAACGAAAGAAAGTTCCAGCTATCAGAGAAACGCATATATATTTTTTCGCAACTATAGTCAGTAACTATTAATGTTGTTGCTGTTTTGACTTAACTCTTTACTGCACACATGAACGCACACAGCAGCGATTTTTTAATTAACACAATTTTTAAAAATAATTTGAAAACTATATTTATTTTATCTTTTATGAGAGTTTCTACAGGGTATATAAGAGTTAAGCCCGCTCTACTCTAGCATTCATTTCTTTATTTTTATTTAAATTTTGTTTCTCTATAATCCTTCTTTTACCAAATATTAAAAAGAATTTAAAAACATTTTTAGTACATTTTTGAATTAATTTGCTTTTAATCTTTAATTTTAATATATAAATTATTCCATTGGAAATAAACTTAAATATTGCAAATTTATCAGATTGAAGTTTAGAATGAAAATATTAGATAAGCAATTCATGCAGAAAATGCTTCGAGCTACATTTTGTATTATTCTTTCCCATTTACATATTCACATAAAGTTGAATTTGTAACTTTAATTTAAATAAAGTTGAATTCATTTGCTTTTAATTTCAAATTTATAATTTATTTCTATTGCAAATAAATAAAATATTGCAAATTTAACAGATTGAAGTTTGTTTACACCGAATCAAGCAGTTTTGAAAATACAAGTATTAGGCAAGCAATTCATGCAAAAAATGCTTCGAGCTACATTTTGTATAATTCTTTCCCATTTACATATTCAAATTTCCGGCTGCTACTTATTAATTTGGTGTCTTAAAAGCCAGATGTTTAATGTGTTGCTGTTTCAAATTTTGAAGATAGTGAAAAGACTAAGACGAGAGCATTAAATAAATTTGAAATAGCAAATGTGATAAACAAAAAGCTTTATAAAACTATTCGAAATGGGTTAAAATGTAAATATAAAGCATTCTTTCAATAGTTTTGGGAAAATAAAATAATTATTAATAACAAAAACTCAAAGTTCTGCAGTCTTCCAAAATAATCTTATTTAAATTTAATAATTTTGTTTAGCAAACATTTATAGCAAATTTTAAGGAAGTAAAGCTTTATGTCTCCAAAAATACTACAGTCTTATGAATATGTGTGTATGTGTATGTATAACTAAAAATATTCACTAATTAATTTGTTTATTTAATTGATTAAATTTTTGTAAATGATTTATTTACAAAATATTTTTTTGTGTGAGTGGGTACAGAGTATTTACCAGTTGAGCCCGCTAGGCTGTAGCTTTTATTTCTTGTCTAACCCATTTTAGAAAATTGTTGTGCAACTTTAAACAACGTTGGCTTCTAACTGACTATGCTTTAGACTGGGAGGAGAATTAAGTTGATGAAAATAAATTTAAAAATATTACATTTGGTCTATAACAAAAGAAATATTTATAATTGTTTACGTTGCTAATAATTCTCTTCAAAGATAGTGAATAAATGCTGCTCTGACTTAATATTTAAAAAATATTTAATAAAAGTAATATTACATTTGGCCTATAACAAGCAAAATAGCAATTATTTTATAAAATATTGGGTTATTTATAATAAATTGTTGTTAATAATTATCTGCAAAGATAGTGAATAAATGCTGCTCTGACTTAATATTTTATGGCTAATGGCTATTATTTTGTTATTCGAAGAACGACCTCGTTTGTATCCCAATTTCTGAGCATAATTGAGCGCTAAGTTGTTAACACAAAGCGCTCTCGCCTCCTGTACTATAATTACCTAGCAACTTGAGGGCCATAACAAAATTGGCATACTTACATACCTGCATGAAGGAATTAAAGGCAGCCACAATTAAAAGTCACCTGCTTAGCCACCCAAGCTCCCAGAGCTGTGTGTGTGTGTGTGTGTAAAGTCAGCTAAAGAGCAACAGTTGCTGCTGCAGCAGCTGTTGTTGCAACTCTTACGGTTTACTGTTGCAGCAGCTGTGGGTGGTGGTCCAAGATTTTAATTAAGTTCTAGCGATGCACATGTTATTATTTATAAATTCAACAAAGTTGACAACACAGTTACTTAAATACATTTTCATCAAATGGCTTGCAACGTGGGTAGGAAGAAAAAATCGATTGAAATTACAATGGCAATCTACTGAAGCAACAAAAACAATGACGGTGACAAGGACAACGACAACGACAACAAATGACTTCCGTTATTGCTGGCTGCTTGGATTGCTGCGATTATGTTGGCGGTAAGTGAGAAAAGTTTTTAATTAAAATTCACACGCAATATGTTGCGTATACGCAACGTTGAACGCTGTTGCATCCAAGCAAGCTATTGCTTGCTTATTAGCGTTGAAATTGTGCGCGTATCATTTAATTTAGATTAGATTGAAATGGAAAATGGTAAATGGTAAATGTTACGTTAAATCGTTGCTGTTGCCGTTGCCATTGTTAGCTAAGGTGAACTAATTTTGTCAGCAGCAGCGGCTTTTACTTTCTGCAGCCCATAGCCATATTCTACGACCGCACACCCCATATCGTATTGTCAACTGGCTGAAGAGCCAACCCGTTTGTTTTCGGTGGCATGGCTGGAACACGCAAACGCTGGCAAAACAAATTACAAACTCAACTCAAGCGTTGAAGTTAGACAGCTCGGCGTCAGGCGAGAAGCGTTAGGGCTCGGCATCTGCAGCTTAACGTGGTCTATCAAGCAACTTGGGAACTCTCATTTCACATGCTCCCAGTCCCTGGTTCCTATTCGTGTCCGCATCCGTGTCACAGGAGCGTGCTGCTTTCTACCTGACGATTAAATTAATACAACAAAAGTTAAGCAGCGGCGGACTAAGCTGCACTTCAGAGCCCAAGATCCGTGGCACCGGGAGGGCAGAGTTCGTTAGCGTTCCAAGCAAGCCAAAGTGCTGTTGTAAATATTAATGAAGTTGGAAAGGTTACCCGAATAAATTTTCTAGGAGACGCATGCAACGCAATTATCATCTAGATGAAAGCGATGAAACTTCGTGGAAAACTTCAACAGTAAAGTGCACCCAGGAAAATAAGCAAAACGAACAAACAATTTCCAAAGCTGAGTTATGAATTATGTTGATTCATATTTAATTAAACTAAACCGAGCTCAACAGAAATATTAATTTGCGTTCAAGAGAGCTGTTAGCTCAGGCTTTGTTTTATTGCCATAAACTATGTTGGGGAACACTATGCATATTTATTTATATTATATTTGTGTATAGCATATTGTTATTTATTTATTTAAGGGAACAATAAAATAACCCTATGGTCCATAGGCTCACAAATAGTACGATATAAAGCTGATTGAGGTAGATACGTAAAAATAAATTATTTATAGAGAAGAACTGCCACATAAAACCCGAATTGTAGACAAATTTAGTCAGGGACGGACTAACATTTAATAAGTTGACAGTTTAAAATTACAAATTAAAATTTAACAACTAGAAAGAAATCAAACATAATAAAGATAAATCAGAATATAATATTTGAACACACATAATATTGAAAACCTTTGACCCGATGAGCGACTCGAGAATTATTATTATTTTTACATAACAAGTTGAAAATTGTAGATTGTTGTATTAAGAATTTTGTGCAATAACATACCGAGTTCCAAATTAGCGCTCATAAATCCTCGCTCAAATATCCTGCTGTCTGAATTTTTTGATGCATAGATCGCGACGCCGATCTGACCCATATTGTGCCTGGGGGTATTTTAAAGGCCTTCTGTATTACTTACTTTTTAATGCGCTTTTAACGATTGGCAAGCTGATAACTTAGTATGTAGTTTAAGTATTTTGAACTGAAATACTTTCTCAATTAAACGAAATGACGCAAATCACTTAAATAAAATGCTATAAGAGGCCGCAACTTAAGTGCTATATTAAATTTAATGTTCATTTAACGGCCTGGTCAGTAAGTCAATGACTGTGTTGGCTCTCAAAAATATCAAATTATATGCCAATTTAATATCAACAAAAATTCAGGGACCATAATTATTGCGTATGTGTTGTATTATAATAGAAATCATTATGCTAATTTTTAAATATATCAATAAATGGCTGATTGCTCCTTTAAATAAAAATTGTGTTCTCATTTTTTTACAATTGTATTACACTTTGTCTGAAAAATATTAAATGAAAACACTTTCACAAATCTCGCCGAATCAAAGTAAAAGAGATAACTGAGATCACCAAAATATCTAAAGACAGGCGTTTGCTATATATTGAACAACGAACCTGGATGTAAGAAAAGTAAGCCGAAAATATTCAATACATAAAAAAGCGTTTGATACGTACTATTAGTTAAATTGCTTGAACATATATTTGTTGTATATAATGAATGAATAAATATGCAGCATTTTAAATATTCATTTTTCTTTGAGCATTTACATTTTCATTTAAAGCAAATTTATTTATAAGATTTAAAAATAAAAGTGAAAAATGCAAGAAAAAAACCTGATTAGATTCAAGCTGATGATTAATTGATTGCAATAAATTCATTCATTGATTCATATTTTTTACTGCAACTACGTATGTACTACAAAAAAGAAATACAAACCGATCAGCTCAAGCGTATTGTAAAGGTATGTGGAATATACTCGCAATTTATGACTGGGAGATCCAAAAACTACGAGATGAGACGCTACGACATACCATCAGCAGCAAAATCTCTGGTTTACTGGTCCAGCTGGGGTGGCAGGGGGTCTCGTAATCTGGGCTGAGCTGTTGTTGAGCAGTTCGAGTGCTGCTGATAAAGTTAAATGATGCATCTAAGCAATTTCAACTAATTTAATGGGTATATTATGTAACAATTAGCTGATAAGTGCGCGCTCAGATGTCAGGCGACTTGTAGGCTGTTTTATTACTTTCTGTTGTTGTTTTTTGTTGTTTTTTTGTTGTCATTAATCTAATTATTAATTGCTAACATTTACTTACAGAATAGAGACACTAGACTAGGCATTTATGTACATAGTATTTGTGTTTAGTTATTTACATGTGCATTGCTGACTGGTCAGCGGCTGTCACTCAAACTATTTGACAGTCCCGTCGAATGGCGTCACATCCCGGCGCGTTTCCGCGTTTTGCGGAAATGTTGTTTGTAAGAGCACATTCGATGTGCCGGAACCGCAGCAGCAGAGTCTGCGGAAAATATCGCCATAGCTGCAGTTGAACAACAATGAAACCAACTTCAGCGCACTCCACAGGGCCAAGATCACGTACAACGACATGAGAATGGGCTGCAAAATGGGTGTGACATAGACATTGAAGTGGATGACGAACTTAACAATTCCTGGCAATTCGCCCATATCCTGGAATAAAGCAACAAAAGTACACATATGGGTTACAGCCTTCGATTCCTATTTGAAAAGATACGATATATGGATAGGCAATACTTACAAACTCATACCAAAATGTGGGCAGCATCATATTACTGAACCGAGTGAGTCCTCTATTGAAGCCTCTCATGTTTGGCATCGGTATGTTGCTCTGGAAGCGATATTTCTCTGTGATGGGAATGCCCGTTGTGGGCTCAATCAGAATGTATGGCTCATGCTCCTCTGGGTTTGGATTCAGACCCTCATAATGTTCACTCCAGTTGTAGCTGCTGCCGTAAAAGTGTGGTCCCGAGAACACTGACGGCGCTTCATCTGCAAAGCCCCAAGAAAGTTGCAGATATGCCACAAGAGGAAGATTGGGGCTCAAGATACTCACTTATTACACATTGGGAGACATCAAACATGCCTTTCGGCAAACCAATGCCATAGGTCGTGTTCAGACAGCTGGGCGTCTCACCCTCCTCCAGAAGCGAGTAACGATATCCTCTGAATCCGTCATAGTCCTGTTCACGCTGATAACGCAAAGGAAGTATGCGACAAGATTCCGCCGCCACAATCTCCAGTTTTGTGTCCTTTTTCAGATAGGGTGGAAATAGCGAGTTATCGAAGGCGCCATGAGCATTGACGGGACATTTCTCCAACTCTTCATCCGAAAGGCCCCTCTTTCGACTCTCCTGCTGTTTCATAATATTCTGACCATTCATCGTATCAATGCGAAAGAAGTTCTCGATGCCATTCTGCGGTCCAATGTTCAGCTTGTAGACCTCCTCCTTTTCAGTCAGAGCCTATTAATAGAAGGTTAGATGATCTGTATAATCTCTTTTAAGTCTATGTGCAATGGACCTGATCGAGAGTTGTTGTTGTAAGTCATTTAATCGCTTAGAAAAGAAAGTTGAACTTTTCTTCACCAGGTTCATTGGCATTTATTACTTACATTGTACAGAGTCCCACAGTTTGAGGCGATGAAGGGCACAACATTCGATATGGCCTTCAAGCCCGGCGAGGACAGTTCCCAAAGGAAATAGTAAATCGATTCGGTGCGAAAGATGGGCTCGTGCAGCGTCACGGCATTGAAAGCGAAGCGTACATAAGAATTGATTTGATTGAACTTGGCTGCCGAGCCAAGAAGTATCATATTTGGCAGCGTTATAGTCCGGTTAAGTATGTCCGCGGATACACTCTCCTCGGGCAGAAATTTCACTTCCCGATAGCGATGCTTTCTAAAAGTGATGCTGCTCTCCGTTCTCTCGAGCATATCGATATAGCCTTGAATATAGTAAACAATCGGTCCCACCTGCTCCAATTTAAGGCGCTCGTCCGTGCCATTCAAAAATGCCTCCGCATTGGTCACATTGAACAGGTAGCTCTTCAGTTTCCCAAAAGGCGAATTTATCCAGCTGTCCATGGTCGGCAGTTCCTGACGGAAGCGCGTGTGCTCACGTGCCAGCTCATGCTGGTAGTTAATGCCCAGCGATTTTATGAACAAAAATATATTCAAAGAGCACAGCAGCGAAAGAATCACAATTTTAAGCCACAGGCAATACTGGGTCGCCTTCATTTTGCACTTAGCAGCGACGAAATTTGAATTTCAAATTGAAAATATTTCAATTTTTTGACCGTACAGCCAGCAGCCGCAATTGATTCCGAGCGAACGAAAACACGCGATCTTTTTGAATCAGAAACTAATCTGTTTTGAATTTCGTTTTTATACAATTTGCTTTACAAAGCCTTATCAGCCAGCTTCCTCCTTCCCCTACCACCGATGCTATATGAATATATATACATACATATATACAAGACTTCAACGAAGCGCTTCATTCAAGCGTCGCATCTTGCGTACTCTCACGTACATAGGCCATTCGCTAAGCTAATTTTCTTAAAGGTCGTCGATAAAAAGTACCCGTTAATAGGTTTAAAAAATATAAATAAATTGAAAATGATTTTTACTTTGTTTTATGATACGTTCGAAATACCTTTTAAAAAAAATACAACAAAATTGTTTTCCATTTTGTGTTCATTTCTCAACAAACATATGGCAGTTTGAAGAGTTATTTTAAATCAGTTTTCCTTTCTTTTTTTAAGAAACTTTGTAATCAGAGAGGTCCGTCGTGCAAGGACATTCACGTATAACTAAAACAATGAAATTTGATCCACTCAGTGATATTAGCAGATAGGTGAATTAATGCTTTTGTAATTTTTTTGTATTGTACATATTTCTTCATCTGCTCATTTTTTGAATGAAGAAAGTTTTTATGTTTAAAATATGATAACATCTTAAAATGCATTATTAAGAAAATAAAAAAGCTACAAACTTGATATTAGAAATTGTGTGCATTGCATTATAGTTTTAAATATCAAATACCAATCATGATAAAAAGAAACCGGATTTCAACATTAGAAATTTACAAAAACATCAAACTTTTGATAATATTTCAATGACGAGCGCTTTTTAAATGCGTCACAAACATCATAAAATTATTAAACTGCCCCTCAAGCAAATGGTGTAGCATTAAAAAAGAGAGAACGAAAACACTGGAAGGCTATCAACATTACTGAGCTATCTTGAGAGTTTGTATTGCTTGCGCGATAGGAGCAGACAACTTTTGACCCAAGCAGCATAGAATTTACGCAAGCTATGATTTAGATTTATGTTTCTGCAGCAGTCAGTATTATCTTAATGCGTCTGCGTACAAAAACAGATGCTATTTAGGGGTCAAATCCCCCGATTGTCCAACTGTTGCCAAGTGGCAGGCAAACATTATGACAGTCCCCAAATAATACTCTTAACTTGTAACAATCAGGCCGCAATCTAATACAACACTTTTACGGTGACAATCTGATAAGACGAGCAGTTCCCAAGACCCTTTTATTTCTTTTATTTGCACATTAACTAAATAACTAAGTAATTGAAATCATTTTGTCAACAGATGTCAGGTGAGAGCTGATCATCTTGACAGACAGTGATGAATGCGAATGCTCGGCGACAACTGAAATCAGGTCATGGGTACGCAAATTTGTAAAAATTTGTGTAAATATTGCCCCAGCAGATGATTTTGTGTTCTTGGGGTCATTGTTGCTATTCGCATCTTAGAGCTGCTTATCTGCCATAGACATTTGCGCCTTATCGGTCTGGGTGTGCAATCAAACAAATGAGTCGACATTAAGCTGTCTTTATGGCTTACAGTGGTATTTTTATATTTATAATGGAAAGTGTCGCGAAGATGGCTATAAATCCGGTCTGGCGCTAGTTGTGCTGATAGCCACTCAAGGTGCATCCTATACTCGTATTTGTTTGTGTCATTCCAATCGAATGTACCTAGAAGTGTGATCTGACAGCTGTTTCGCAAACGTGAGTCTCTGATTAGTATTTAATTTATTTCGTAGAAACAATTGACCTCGTTTTAATTAAAAGCACTATTAAATACAAACTAAAAAGTAAGCAGGATTCAAGCTTAACAAATTCAAACAGTTAATGGCTTATTTAAATCAGATCCATGTACTATAATTGTTGTAGACAAAATGTGGAACAGGAAATTAGACGAAATCGCCCACTATCAACAACTGATTCAATCCAAATTGCTGTTTATTCTGACCATGTGACCAATTAATATAATAGCGTAATAATAATTTGCCCTGAGATTATAGAATAATAAAATAAATCTAGTTATACTTATGTATATACCCGCAATTAAATAATCCAATTAGATTAGATCGCGACTTTAAAACTGTTTAAATGTTGCATGAAACAATCTTTATAGAATGGCATTTTCAGACTTAAAGTGATAAAAAAAAGTTGTTTGACATTCTTAGACTTAAATCCGACACATCGAACATTTAATATAGACAATAAGTGCAATCAATTCTCCGCCTATGCCAATTTGATATCGCATAATGTATTTGTTTTTTAAATAGTTTCTTTATTAAGAATTATAAGTAAGACGAAGGACAAGAAAGATATATTTTATTCCAAACTTTTTTAATATGAGTTTGAAATTGGCATTCATTTCTTTATTTCTACACACACCAAACACAACAACTTTTTCATGTTTTATTGTGGATGCTACGTAAATGTTGCAATATTGATTAACATTTTCAATATTCACTCAGCTCTATGATATATTTACAGCCCATTAAGAAGGCTTACAATACTGGTCGATAAGTCTTGTTAACATGCAAATGGAAGCTACAAGGTGTGTTCCAAAGTAAACAGGACTTAAAAAAAAAACAGAACAAATGGTTTTTTCGGCAATACAGCTTCAATACAGCTTTTTGCACGATCCAAAAGTATGCCGAACGATTGTTTTAGCTCGTTGGCCGGTATGGCCGCCAGTATGCCGGTGCAAGCCTTTTGAATGGCCTTTACGTCTGCAAAACGCTTTCCTTTCATAGGCAAATGCTTTTTTTCGAAAAGGTAGAAGTCGCACGGTGCCATATCAGGTGAATACGGCGAGTGGTTAATGGTTAAAATGTGATTTTTGGTCAAATAATCGGTCACAAGCGTCGATCGATTCTGAGCAATTTTTGGTCGTCAATCAATTTGTGCGGAATGTTCGGTCAAAATGCGATGTTTTGGAGATGTTCAATTCCATTTCCATCAATTTCAATGATGATTTCGGCTGATTTTTGATGAATTCACGCACAGTTTCGATGGAATTTTCGGTGATCACGAATTTTGATTGGCCCACATGTTGATCGTCATTTATGTCCTCACGACCACTTTGAAAACGTTGAAACCACTCGTGCACTCTGCTACGGGATAGGCAATCATCGCCATAAACTTGTTCCATCAATTGAAACGTTTCGGTAAAAGTTTTACCAATTTTAAAACAAAATTTAATGTTGGCTCTTTGTTCGAAGCTCATTTTCGCATCGATAACACAAACATACTGACCCTTAAAACGCAATAACTTGACTTCCAATCGATGAAATGCCATGAAATTCTCACTGGACAATCGATAAAGATAGCAGATTCTAACGCACCAGTCGACATATAGAAAGCGCCACCAGGGGGTGCTAGATTCAAAAAGTCATTGTATATAATACAGACTTTATAATACTTAGTAACTGATATTCTCAGAACTTTGGGTTTCGAGAATGCTTTAAATAGGCAAAAAATTAATCAGAATATTTGACTTGATATCTAGTTTTAAGCCTGGTCTTAATATTCTAGAATGGTGAACAGTTGGGGTTAGGAACAGCTTATTAACGGGTTTCAAAAAGAAGAAGATGTGTTTTCTTATCGCTTAGTATTACTTTTAATGGACGAGAACCGATTGTGTGGTGTCTTTGCTTATTGATTTTTTTTTTTTAATATTTCGACAGCCCCAAATCATTTACTATTGAGTCCGAAATTGTAAGATGCCTATGGCTAGGATGGGACAGCAGCCGTTGGATATTTTTACAGGAATAAAATAATAAATATTTTACAATTTTGAAAGAGTCGTACTTTTCACGCATATTGGATGATGTGGCGCTCCACTTGAGCAGTCTTGACTAATTTTGCAATGCTATTATGCTGCTCTACACCTGTACTATTTGTTGGTAGCAATCGTTCTGATGTTAATCAAAGATTCTGGCATTGGCGCATTCGTTTCTATAAAATACAATACTACCTTATAACACACACAAAGGATTTCGGCATTAATCATTGAGCTCTTAGGCCTTCAATTTATTTTATTTGCCTACCTCAGGCAGGTAACTGAAGAGAAGATTAAACTGAACGGGTTTAAAGTTTAAAAGCTTGAAAAGTGCCCAAGGTTTTGTGGTATGCCAGCTACCCAGCTTGTTGTCATTTCATTATTGTTTTTTGCATTTCACGATTCACACTTTTCAGGTTCGAATGTGTATGTGTGTTTGCGAAACTTGTTGCGCCCAGATACGTTTGTAGAACGCATGGATAAGAGTATCTGACAATGAAATAGACGGCACACAATGAAGAAAAAACGTAGCATCATACTCGCACAGTTGACTCGAAATTTGAGGACTTCATTTAAAATGCACAAAGTGTCGCATAGCGCTCACTTGAACTTTTCCTTTGACTCTGGCACTCCATAATTGACGAATTTTGATTTCAATATGATTGGGGGGGGGGGGGGGGGGCAGTCTGAAATGAAAGAACGAGCGAACGTGAATCGCAGAAACCCAAACAGCCGGGCTAAGGGATAAACTGAAAGCATTCCGCACAATGTCAAACGATATTGTCAATTTGCAAGCTGTGCCATTTTATTTCTTTGGTCTCCTTCAAATCCTCTGAACAGAACCCAGTGAAGTGAAAATGTTGCCTCGCTCATTGAATTGCTTGGCTTGGTCTCCCTTATGAATTTAATCTTTAAAAAATTAACATTTATGCATTCAAAGCAACGGGCAAAAAGTTCACTCCTTTCAAGAAATTTGAAAACTTTTTATATTCGTACACCACTGAATTTTTAAGAACATAATTGTGTTTTAATTGCTTTAAATAAAAAGAAGTTAATCAAACCAGCATCCAGAGCTTAGAATTATGGCCACCCTTTGGCACGTATTGGCACTTTGCTGAGAGTGAACAATTAGCGCTAATTGACGCAGTTTCTTGTACCTTGCCAGGTAGTTACACATAATTAA